CGTATGTGTTTGTGTTTAATTCTCGTAAAATAAAGGTTTTAAAAATAAACCCTCCCATTAATTATTGGCTTTTATTCAGAAATAGATATAGATACTGAAAGGGTAATACACTCGTAACTTTCTGGTCAACAAGAACATTTAACAAAGGATAAAGTCAAACTAGTCAAAAAGCCGATCTTTTGATGATGTAATAGACATCACACCATCAGCCACCCGAGCCCATCGCTGAGTTAAGAGCAACACGCTTACTCGGGACGTATTTAGAAATTCTAAGTCCATTTCATAACGATGTCTCCCTTCACCGTTTGTCAGTGGTGTTTTAAAACACATAGAAAAGGCATTTATGTGAAAAAATGCATATTGGTACTTGTAACGTCTCGAATTCTCGAAACCCCATGCATGAGGTACGAGAGCCTTAACCTCCAAGCCACCATGGTCTCTTTGATTTAACATATCTAGATCTACGATTTCACAAAGTCGTATTGCGAGAAGGCAATAGTAAAAAATATCAGTGACAAAACAGCTAAAACATACTTATAATTGAATATGTTTAGTTTTGTAATTAGTTAACTTAGATGGAGTTGTCTGTCAGTTTGTTTGATTGCCGCTAGGTTTGCAGCCAGGCAAATTGAACTGTGGCTAATTATATTTCGAACTGGTTTCCTACAAGTTTGTTGTGAAAGCTGTAATTAGACTTTGAATGCGACATACACGCTTGTTCGGGAGTTTAAATTACTTCCATTTTGCGTGCATTTTGATTTAGTTATATGTTTAAAAAAATACTTTGTTAAGAGTCAAATGAGTGAGAGTCATGTTTTGTTACAATTGGGCTGCTTCGACCGGAGTGATACCACGTTCTTACAGAAAACCAGCGTGAATCCTCTTCATATGGCGTTGTATTTTGCTATGTGAGTGAGGTTATCGGAGGCCCAATCCTACCCCCATCCTCAATCACCAAATTACCTATTCTTAAATCCCCAATAACCTACCAAAGGCCGGCAACGCACTTGTATTACCTAACTCCTTTGGTAATACAAGCGTCCATGGGCGGCGTTGATTGCTTACCACGTAATCCGTCTGCTCGTTTGCCGACCAATGACACAAAAAGACAGATTCAGAATAATTTGATGCCATTTATTATGCACTGTAATGTTTTTTTTAGACAAACAAACAAATATAATACACAAACACTACTCCCAGACAAACTAGTCGAGATATCAACATCGTAATCCAGAATTAATTAAATGTTAATTGATGTACTTAACGGCACTAGGTATTGTAATCCATTGGGGAGCGCTCTAAACATCTAATGCCAAGTGTACACGTTGTCACCTACATTAGTTTATATACAACTATTATTGTTACCGGCGTCAACAAACATGGATCTTTAGGCTAGCTGTACAGTGTACGCGTTGAATTATATTGTGCAAAGTTCGTTGAGTAATGGTTTGTTAAACTGTCTTATTAGTGGAATGTTGAGTATTCTGGGGTACACTTTTCTTCTGATTGGGATTTTGGGTAGGTACGAGATTGAAAACTTAAGAAGATTCTGTCAGAAGTTATAAGAAAAGTGTACAAGAAAATATATTTTTGTTGGAAAAATATATTTTCTTGTACACTTTAATTAATCCTCGCCATGGATTCAAAAATAAAGTTTCACATACCCAACACACCCAAACCTAGAACTATAATTTGTGGATCAAAAAACGGTCACGCGATACGCAGCCTAAACTTTGCAATCTGTACTCTTCGACTGCACAGTTTACACGATGGCTAGTAAAAAAAAGCTGGTGCTTATGACAATACACTCACTCTTTGTCATATCAGGGGCCCGAGTCTACTGTTTTCAAAGTGTTGTCATTCCAAAACAATTCCATTGTCATTTTGCTAAAAGTTCGTAATCTGTTAATTCAAAATGGCTGATCATTGGCTTTCGGCGATGTCGTAATATAATTATAGTATGAGATGTCTTGTAACGAATTATAAACAATAACTGTACATTAATATTCTAAACGTAAATCATTGAATAAAGGAACTGACATTTATTTATTAATTTACCGCATTATGTCAAATATTCATTTATCATTATGTACGAGATTACCGTTCTAAAGAATTATTTCAATGAAGTGGCATTGGGAGGTCATAATGATTCCATCGTGTTAGTAGATTACCAAAACTTGTCAAAATCAACAATTTTGCAACCAATGATCTACTATCCTGACACTATTCTAATAGCAGACTCGACGCCCAGGTCACACTTAACAAACTCCGTTTTTGTTAAAAGCCATCGGAAATTTACTGTCAGACTCCATAATCCTAATGCAGAGAATTTTCGGAAACTGATAGTCATTACTTTATTAATACATAATGGTCACATTCTCTATATATATTATAGTATTGTAAACAATGATTGTCGCTCATGGACAGTGTTGAGGAAACAGCATAAAGCTGCCAACAAACCTAACTCACTTGCCGAAACACAAGGAAAATGTTACTTTATCCCAGTCTTCATTTTGGTCAAAGCAGCCCATGTGTGCCGAAGTATGGTCTCCCACACTTAAAATAAAACACAATCATAAACATTCCTTAACATCGTCACATATAGCTGTATGAGTCACCTTAGCACATCATGTAGACATTTCCTTAGTAATTTAGAAGGTGTACAACATCGGATTATGTTGTCATCTGTGAGATCCACTGTTTAAGGAATCGTTTCCATTGTACTACGGTACGTGATGTTGCTATTTCGTGACATGAACGTTTTGGCGTGACGTGTAATGTTTCAAATGTCGGAACTGGTTTATGCGGTACGTCGTGTAATACCTTGTGTCTACGTCAGCCGGGTTTGTTGTTAAATGGTACTTATAACACGTGGCAGGTTGCAAATGAAAACGTTTAGTCTTCACTATAAGGTCTTCTTTATCAGAGTGCCTTATAGTCTGTTAGTCTGACAGTCTCCGTGTCTATGAGCAACGGAACTGCATGTATAAAAATCCACGTTGGAATCAAAAGTTTCATTTTATCGTTTATTTAGTTTTGTATGTTGGTGGTAGTGTGTGATTAGGTACAGGAGATTTTAGGGCTAACACAGATGATTTGATTTTGGATGCATTCAATTGTTACTTTATTACGTTTATTTGTTAATACACCAAAAATATAAAAGACGAACTTAACTCAGAGAGCCAATCCCTCCCCCTCTCCCATCCCTTTCCAATCCTTAAATGTCCTAAACCTTTATCCTTAAAAGGCCGGCAACGCACTCGACAACAACTCCTTTGATGTTGCGGGTGTCCATTGGGGTGCTGATTGCTTACCATCAGGTAATCCGACCGCTCGTTTGTCGACCTACACCATAAAAAAATGTATGGCTTAATTACTTATAGACAACCTTTAGATAGAGCCAATGATCAGGATTCGTGAAACGGGCATCTTTCATATTCCAAGTGTCCATAGGCGGCGGTGATTGCTTACCATCAGGTAATTATTTTTTATGACATATATCGTTCGGTCGGCTCGTTTGCTGATCATAAATGATAATACGTTGAGTCAGAAGTAAATTGATGGCGACCGATGCTAAAGAAATGCCTTGAACAGTTCGGTCAAATTCTTGACCGCCATGAAATATTTATACAACTAATTAATTAATCACAAATATCTGAACACAAATATTTGAACACCTTCGATACTGCATTCTATGTGATTCCACCATAAAGAGAACAAAACCTTTCAATTTTTAAAACGCATCATCTATCCTTAAAGCCCGTAGGAACGTTAGATCGCATGCTCCGTGGCTATAAAGCATGTTGCTGCAACATGCTCCCCAGGGGAGTGCGCTGTAACATTGTACTAACTCGACGACTGATACTGTCGGTAGCTTGTTACTGTAACAGAGTGTAGAACATTGATACTAAACATTTCGCTGCTATTTGAAAATAAACCTGTTTTAAGTTTTACTTCCATAAAATTGAGTATTTTAGTTGATTTAGCGGTTAAAAATGCAGGTCCTAAACAAGAGGTCCAAAGATTTAAATTTAATAATTACAATGGAATAAAGTAAATCATATACATACATACATGAACCCATAAAAACATAACATTGCTTTTTTAAGCAGTCGTGTAAAAAAGTAACTATACCAAAATCTATGTATTTTATTTCACAGACGTTTGAAAAAATGACAGATTTTATTGTCAACAGCAACTTATCCTGTTTAATATTAATCAAATTGACTTAATGACGAATAATTATTCTTAACGAATAATTTATATGACAGGCTTATTTATACAAAATATAAATATCAGAATAACTAGAAAATTAAAATGGTAAATATTGTCTTTCGGGTCTGCGGTCGGCGAGTAAGGGCAGCTCGCCGCCCGACCAGAAGCAGACCCGTGCGTACGGCGCGTAGCGTTCCGCGCGCATCTTAAAGAGCCAATAGACCACCACAGACGGGGTCCTATAGGGTTTGATGTTCAGTCGGGGTTACGGGGTAAGCGTAATGAGGCACCGCGACTTCGGCCCAGAGTAGGAGAAGGAACAGGGGGGTTTTTAGTCAGTAAGAGTCTGACACTCCCTCCCGCCCGGCCCTGGGCGGGAGAAGTCATTTAATGATTTTACAGTCCCCCCAAAAAAAAAAAAAAAATTGTCTTTAGAGTTTCTTACTGAGCTCTTTGTTCGAACAGAACCAGAACCGAGCGTGCGGTGCATCGAATTCTGCAAATACCCTAGACAGCCATCAGAATACAGATGGGACCCAAGCAAGTTCGTGATTTAATGCACAATAATGTACGTGAGGCCTAGCTCAGAGTAGGAAAAGGGAGTGTCAGATTCTTACTGACTTAAAACTATGGTGGTCTGATCACGCTCGAGGCGCGCGAAGAACTCAACCTGCCGTATGCCGGGGATCGTGAGATAACCTGGACTTCTTAATTCCAATATTGGCCGAGTATAATATATTATGTACTTTCTGGATATAATATTTAGACATCACTGTCAAATGCAAATGATCTTGAGGAAACCTGGACTTATAATTTCTAACCATACCTGGAACGTGCTGGAACGAACATACCTGGAACGTACTGGAACGACTGCACGTTTGGCGCAGTGGCTGGACAACTGGCTGCCGCGCAACGTGTCGGGGTTTCGATTCCCGCACGGAACAACTCTTTGTTTTGTCACGGACCCAGAAAAACAACCCACAAATTGTTGTTCTGGGTCTGGATGTGAGGTGTATGTAAAATATTGTTTGTAAACATACCCACGACATAGGAGAAAAACCTACTGTGTGGCGATGTTTTTTAAAAGACTAAGTCAAAGAAGACGTGGTGATTAATGCTTAAACCTTCTCTGTGTGAGAAGAAGCTCTTGCTCAGTAGACATGACTTATAGGCAGATGCTGATGAAGTAACAAAAGACGTGTAAGTTCAGAAACTTTAATGTTACCTGTAATTTTGTTCATAGTTCACTGCTCATACTAATAATGAAAGCAAATGAAACAGGTTTTAAGCCAAAAGTATGCGTAAACACTCACACACACACACATGTACCACATTCGGATAAGTTTACCAAGTCACATCTGCTGCTGTTGACTTTTAGGCTGAAATTCCACCTCCAAGTACTATTGGAACTGAAGAAAATGAGTTGAAAGTGACATTGGTATGAGTTTTTGCATAATTGCTAATATGCATCAATAAACCTAGTAAAATCATTTTTTGGTTTATTATCCAATTGTTTAGATACATGGTCTGAACAATATGATTTTACATCTCCTTATTTAAAATTAATTTATAGGTTATAAAATCTAAATGTATTATTAATTAATTTTATTACTAGCTCTGACACGCGGCTTCTCTCCCGTAATTTGCCTATCTACACTACCCTACCTAGTTACCTACACTACTCACCCTACTACTATTTGCCCTACCTTCCTACCCTTTTTTACCCTATCCTTCTCCTAATTCTTAGCTTACCAATAATAACCCCTACAAATTTTGAGCAAAATCGCTTCAGCCGTTCTTATAGGACGCTACAATAGATAAAGATGTAGCATGGGCAGATCACTAGGTGGACTGACGACATCGTCAGAGTCGCAGGGAGTCAATGGATGCAAGTGACGAATATTCGATCTACGTGGAGGGAATAAGTAGTCTTGAAGCTGATGATGATAGTGAATAAATCATTTTATTAACAGTAACAGAACACTCAGTAAAGTATTAAACTTTCATTGTAGCTGGAAAAGCCTATTGAGTTATTTGCTACCGCTATCCCCGAAAATTGGGCCTGCGGTCGGCGAGTAAGGGCAGCTCGCCGCCCGACCAGAACCAGGCCCGAGCGTACGGCGCGTAGCGTTCGCCTCAAAGAGCCATTCGACCACCACAGACGGGGCCCTAAAGGGCTGATGTTCATCCGGGGTTGCGGGGTAAGCGCAATGAGGTACCGTGACCTCGGCACAGAGCAGGAGAAGGAACAGGGTGGTTTTTAGTCAGTAAGAGTCTGACACTCCCTCCTGCCCGGCCCTGGGCGGGAGAAGTCATTTAATGATTTTCCCCTCACAAAAAAAAAAAAAAATCTTCGAAAATTCAGCTCTAAAAATGCAATAATAGGACTAACGAAGCAATATAAATACATGGAGTAATTAATACATATTGTGATTCTGATGCCAATTACACAAGATATACTTAGTTTATGAATAAGAAAACTGAATGATTTTATGAACCAGAGTCACTTTTAACTAAATTGTAATTACCATTTATGACGAATATTGTGCAAGTCGGGTACAACAATTCTTTAAATTATATGTAGTATGTAGTATATGATTACATCATAAGTATTTTAACATCAAGAATAATAATTAAATTGTTTATTTTATTTTTTGACAAATTAAATTTTATTATTCTTTTTTTTGCAAAAACACTATCATTTACTGCATCATAATATCATACCATACAACCTAAAGTATTATCTAACATAAATAAAATATCTATTTTAAATTCGAAACAAGCCATAAAAATGTGAAAGTTAAGTATTTTAAAATTATAATTGAATTATTTAAACAACAAGTACCAACAGGCGAGAACCATTTTAGTTTACGACTGAAACAAAATCTAAATAACGTAACTGAAACGTAATGAACAAACCAGAACAAATGGTAATGTTTTAAAGTGACAATCTGTTCTGTCAACATGACCCTTGCGATGGTACCCGTGTCAGTGGCAGGTGTACTGCTAACGGAACCACTGCATAAATATGACAATATTAGCTTTCGCCCGCAGCTTCGGCCCGTGTGGTATTGATAAAAAGCAACCTATGTGTTAACCAGGGCATTACCAAACCGTATCACATTTCAATCAAATCGGTCTAGTCGTTTTTGTGTTATAGAATAACAAACAAACATCAATATTTCCTCAGAAAATTTTACATATTTAATATTAATAGGATATAAAGTCGTTAAATTACTCAGTGAGTTTAGAATAGCATTTTAAAAGGAGAAGGAAATATGACTTTGACCTCTCTTTCCATCACGCACGCGACTTAAAGAGTTTGACTGTAAGACAATGCCTTAAGATATGCCATTAAACTCATAAAGTATAATAAAATATACAGACATCATCAACGATAAGTGTTCACTACTGGGCCTCTTCTCACACGGAGAAGGTTTGAACATTAATCACCATGCTTGCTCAAGGCGGATTGGCGATTTCAAACTTATAATTAGAAATTAAAAGTCCAGGTTTCTTCGTGATGTTTTCCCTCATCGTTTGTCAGTGCTGTCAAAATAATTCTAGAACGTATATATAACTCAGAAAAAGTCGAATTGGTACTTGCCAGGTATCGAACCCGCATCCCATTCATCGATGGGGGCGCCCTTACCTCCGGGCCACAACGCATGCTATTCACTATCATTTACTTGCAAACAAGTAAATGAAATTTTACATTAAAAAATAGCACTCACGTATTACAATATATTTTTTTTATGAATAAAGCTACTTAAATTTTTCCTTCACATCATTATATTGTGTGGGGTGGGTGGGTGTCCATTACCTTTCACAGTACCTTTGACATAATTAATAATCTAACACAAAAATAATAATATCAGTTTGTTTGCTGTTCTAAGACTAACTAAAACTTAGGCTTAGCACTATGGGATGCAAAATATTACTTTTAAAGTACTGAATCAAAGTGTTGGGTTTGTAAAAGCCATCAACTATAAATAATGCGACCATACATAAATCCCGTTGTGATTCGACATAAGACGAGTATGTACGAATCATTGTATTCAGATCAACGAATGAAGTACCGGAGTGATACCACGGCCCTACAGAAAACCGACATAAAACAACCACAACGTTGTGTTTCCCTTTGTGAAGTTACCGGAGGCCCAATCCTTTTCCTCCCCCAATCCCTAATCCCGCACTATATGCCGCCTGATATTAAAAAACAATAAAAAATGTAATAAGTATGTTAAAGAACAATAAAAAATAACACTTTAAAAATGAATTGTTTCACTAATAAAACTGATGAATAATAAAAATATAATTCGTACTAAAATTTCAGTAATATAACGAAATAAATCTACCAACACAGAATATTTATTAACTTATCGTACAAAGGCAGTCTATTATAAAACGGGTGCAACAACTGCATAGCAATAGATATCATTTGGACACGTGCCTAACATGGCACGCCTTGCACCAGAGCCTGCCAAACACGACACATCTTTGTCTTGTACTTAAGAGGGTCTTGTGCGAGCCTTGTATAGGCTATAGCTAGCTTTATTAAGATTGAAAGATTCTACAAAACTGTTAGGATCATGCTATAAAAAAATTCAGGCGGCTCGGGGATTCAGATATCTTAATTTCGCCAAGTTGCCTGGCAAGTACTCATGTGACTTTTCATAAGTTATATGGATTTTGGAAGTCTATCAAAACTGATAATAACGGCAAAGGAAAACGTTGAAGGAACTTAACCTTACTATAACTTTGAAATCGCCAATTCTCCCTTAGCAAGCTTGATGAGGAATGTTTAATTCTTTATTTGAGTGAGAAGAGGCTTTTCTTTGGCAGCGGGCCGATTATATTTGAGTGTGGAAGAGCCATGCTTCGGCACGAAAGTATTGGCTTGACCTGAGTGATACCATGGTCTCTGAGAAAACCGGTGTAAACTACTACTACTACTTCTCCCAAATTTTCAAATTCCTAAATTACACGTGCAGCATTCGACAGATGAACAGTACGTACACTCATTGGCCGCAGAAGTCCTGAAAAAATGGCTGTATAGAATGTGTGTGGATTTGTTTAGTTAACTAAATCAGTATGAAGACTGCAATGTTGGCGTGGTGGTGGTTGGGTAACTAGCTGCTGTGCAACGTGTCGCAGGTTCGATTCCCGAACAGAACAACATATATACGGCTGGCTTCAAGGCTAGAGTGAATAGGCTCTTAATAAACTAGTGCGCCTTACCATCAATGATTGCATCACTGCTTACCATCAGGTGGGATCGCAGTCAAGCACCAGTTTATATCAAGTAAAAAAAAATTATTTTGTGTGATGATTTTATGTTTTGAAACGCACCCGACACAGGAGAAGATCCTAGTATGGAGCAAAATCCAGTTATGAAGACTGTACGTCTGTATTATTTCCCTACATGCGTAACACAAGACATGATTTACCGCAAAACTTTCTAACCTAACTCGGATGATATAGCGCGCCCTATATACGTTATGTACGCATGTCAGTATTTTTCTTAACTTTTGCAAGTGATGACACGACGAAACGAGTCCATATTTTGTAACAACTCTTTTATTTTATTTGTGCTTTCATAATACAAGTTATGTTGCTTATTGGATAGTCGGGTTCTTATGGGATTGAGGTGGCTAATGAGTAGATGGATCACGGATCATTTGATGGTAAACTTATTGGGTCTTCACTTTAGCTCTGTAACACAAGGGGGGGGGGGGCAACAAGGGAATCGAGAGTCAGAGATTTGAGGTATTGGAAGTAGGACTGAGTGTTATAAGATTTTAGTTGTTTTAAAAGAGGCTAGTTTGGTTAGATAATTATATTGTCAATTAGCAAATTATCAATATTTATGCCATAAATGAAATAAAATTGCTAACTTTGAATTTCTGAACACTTACTCTTCATTACCATCTTTTAATAACATACATCTAATGAAGAAAATAAGACAATATTTTCTAATAGTGAAACACTATTTCATACCTAATGTTATACTTGCATATAAAAATGAATATCAATTTTTAATTATCGGATTCGGCTTACAAACAAGAATGTTTTAATTAAAGACAATTTAAAAAGTAAAAGGTCCAATTGAGGAAATGCTGCCCTTTTAGACCTGTTAAACAAATGACTGACACAGAGCTATCTAGATATTCATATAAAGCAGAAGCGAGCCGCTAGTCCAAACTTAATATTATAAATGCGAAAATAACTCTGTATGTCTGTCTGTCTTTTCTTCACGTCTAAACTACTGAACCGATTTCTGTGAAATTTGGCACAGACATAGTTTGGAACTCGAGAAAGGACATAGGATAGTTTTTATTCCAAAAATCAGCAGGAAGTCACTATTCCACGCAAACGGAGTCGCGGTCAAAAGCAAGTTAATAATAAAACAAGTAATACATCAAAATAATCAGGAAGAGGATGGCTAAGTTCGCGCCGCTAGTTTGGGCCGTGGCGTACTTTAATTATAATATTTTCCACAGGGAACGTGCCCGCCCAGTGATTTATATAGCAATTTCCCTATTGTTAGCAGAATAAAACGTGTAATGTAACTACTCAATGCCACAGTGTAGAATGATATTGTTGAGACAATATGGGAAGGTAGCTTTTTAATAGATTACTAGAACGCACTATCGCCAAATAAGTCTTGACACAGTCTAATTTCGTTCGTGTCATTCTAGAGTGATTATTGACTGACATTGGATTGTCTGAACTATCTGTTATGACAGAGGTATGACCTCTCTTTGATGAATAGCTCTTAGATGACTCGGCGTCCGCACCTTCCATGCATTCCATGGTTTTGAGAGAGAGGAACTGGAAGGCCGTTTTCTCCTTCTGGTCAAGGAAGCCATAATCGCAAAGAAGGAACTAGTGTATGAGGCCGCAATCCTCATACGCCGTCTTAGAGCAAATATGTACGAGCAGATATGCAGTCTAAGTATGGAGTAGAGACTACCGCGTAAGTAAAAGTCCGACACTCCCTTCTGCTCTATCCAGCGTGGGTGAAATCATGGATATTATTTTAACCATGAAAGCATGAAGAAATTTAATACAATAAAATTAAAGTTCAAATATATTTAACAGTTTTGTAGTCATGTAAGCTGACAGCAATGTGATATGTCTTAAGTATGGATGAGCCATGCTTCGGCATGAATGAACCAGCTCGACCGGAGTGATACTACGGCCCTAAAGAATATCGCCACGAAGCGACATTTACATTATGTATCGTGAGGTTACCGGAGAT